TGGCCACGGCCACCCCACGGTAAACTCTGGCCACCCCTGTGGCCACCCCAATATAATTTTGCTGTTGACATTATTGATTTAAATGTACTTATAAATTCCCAATATTTAAATCAATAAATACATAAAATGCAGCCACTAAATTATTGTTGGTGTTACTGACGTAGCTCTCCCCCTCTGGTTCAATGCTGGTGAAAGCAAACTGACGCATGCGCGCAGAAAACCATTCCCGCGCGCCTCACGCACTCCTGTGTGAATCCCGGTTAGTTTTTTCCATGCACGCCAATAAAATAGGCGCCGCTCATGTGCCGTGAAACCGGAGTAACAGCCTTTTGTGCAGAGGTGTAGGCACGCAGCGAGTTTTGAAAGTCGACTAAAGTTTATATAATATGATGATTATGATGATGATGTTACTTTCACTAAGCATGGCTTTAAAGTAAAGGATGGATAATTAGTCAGGGAGGTAAGACTTCATAACATGATTTCTCAGCCATGATCTGGTCTAAGACCACAGATAATTCTTTAGAATTGTTATAATTAATTTTCATGCAAAAGGTTTCTTAAGTGGTCTTGGCATATCACTCCAGTTGTTGTTTTATTATGTTGTTTGTTATGTTTATTAAATAACAAATCTAACAATTCAAGGGAGGTGGGGGTGTATAGGGTGGTTTGCCAGGGTGTCATTTAAACTAGAACCGCCACTACCCTCCCCGATCGTCGTTGACAGCACGCACACACCTTCAATAGACAACAATGGCAATTTAATATTTACCTTAAGGTACAGTATATCAATAGAAGAAGCTGCATTAATAAAATGGCTCAAAAACTAATATGGATAAATGATATTATTAGGTAGGCTATAGTGAGTGTGTATATAGAAATGCCTTTTGTTCAGTTTGTTCATTTGTTTGGGTTATTATTAACTCATTATTCTTTCTTTTTTTTCGGCTTAGTCCCTTTATTAATCCAGGGTCACCACAGCGGAATGAACCGCCAACCTATCTAGCACATTTTTACACAGCGGATGCCCTTCCAGCTGCAACCCATCACTGGGAATAATAAACTCATTAATCTTCATTAATTTTAGACTTGTCATATAATGTATGATGTACAATAAAATCATGTAAAAAAAGAGTTATTTATACAGTATGTATATATATATATATATATATATATATATATATATATATATATATATATATATATATATATATATATATATATATATATATATAAAGTGTTTTTAAACTAAACATAGATTTTTATTTGGTTTGACCATGTACTTCCTGAATTATTTCAAGGAATAAATTGCAAAATTTCAAGAATAATTAATTAAATGAATAAAAACTACATTATTTCATTTACCAGAAACAAAAATATAACATTACACTGAATTCATTATTTTTTTAGTGTGCCACCTCAAGATTTGGTGCGGTCTCTTCTGGCCACCCCTAAGAAAATTTTCTGGGGGCGCCACTGCCCTGAGCTCCCTCCCATTCGCAGGGCGAAAGGGGAGATTGAGCCCAGGCAGATCTTAAAAACTCGCCGGCTAAAGTGGCTAAGGTGAACTATATTAAGAAGGAAAAATATTGATGCAGAGAGCTAGAATATGGTGTCCAATTGGCGTAGTCGGTTTACTTACACTCCAAAATTTTTTTTTTTTTTGCTTGTTCAACCTATTTATTTAAAAAGAGCTACACTCAAAAAAAATTTATTTATTTTATTTATTTTTTTGCTAGTTCTGTCATGAGCCAGGTCTGATCTTGTTAATTATATCACTCAGTATTGCCTCTTTGGGCTCGCAGCTGCAGGTTCTCCCCATTAACTATCATTGCATCAGCACCTGTCGCCACTCATTGCCTATTAATGCCCCTACGTAATCCTCTATGTTCTCTGTTTCTGGGTCCGATTATTGTATATCACTTCTGTGTCTCACCTCGCTGTTTGTGGATCGTTACCCGTTTGTCCAGTCCCGTAAGTCCTGTCCTGCGTGCAATCACTGTCTGTATGTGTACTCACCTACGCTCTGCTCACCCAGTGATCAAGTGCCTGTCAGCGTCTGGTTCCGAGCCGGGGTTTGTCAGCTGACGCCAGCTCTCCACCTCTACTCCTTCTCAGCCCTCTCTTGCAGGATCCTTCTGTTTGCATCTGATTGAACTTTTGAGTAATCCAGCACTGCGCACAACCTGGGTATTGCGTACGGCAGTCTGCCTTTGTTGAACTGTACCTAATAAACTGTCCTCATTTTCCCGCACCTCTGGTATCCTGTCTAGTATGTTACAAGTTCAAACTACTTATTTAAAATTAGATGAAACAACACAATTCATGATGTTTCTTTGGGACAACTTAATACATAAATAAATAATTATAAATTTCCTATAAGTGATAAGTTAACTTAATTGATTTGTGCTGGGACAACATGAATGAATTGTCTGGAATCCTGCATTATTTACAGTGTATGACGCATATCTTTGGAATGTGGGAGAAAACCGGGGAACCCGGGGGGAAACCCACGTAAACATGGGAAGAGCATGCAAACTCTACACAGAAATGCCATCTGGCCCGGCGAGGACCAGAGCCGGCGGTGTTCTTGCTGTGGGGCAACAGTGCTAACCACTGGGCCGCCGTGCCACCCAATCTAAGTAAAATGGGGAGGAAAAGGGAAGGTTTTTTTTTTTTTTTTAGATGAATATAGTTGTGGAATGAAGACTGTGGTTATTTATAGTGACTTAAGGATCATATGATTGGAGAATCGTGAATAACTAATAAAAGACCGGCTGTGGTCAATCATAAGCATGTGATGCTCTTGAAATTAGTTTATAAATAAACTTAACTTGATGTAGCTACATATTGTGGTACTTGACAAAGTTGGCCAAAGTAGTCCTGAGCCCAGGTTATCTCACTTGTAGAAGAATGACAAATCTGGATGTGGTGCTGCCTGAGGGATCAGAGATCACAATTGTTAGGCTTGCGTCCTTGTCCTTAACGCACTGAAATTCCTCCTTCCTTGAATCTTTCAACTATGTTATGTACTACTGAAGGTGAAATATCCAAATGTTTTAGTATATTTCTTAAAGGAACATTTTTTTAAACGTTTCAATAATTTTATCATGTATTTGTTGGCAAACTGGCGATCCTCATCTTTGCTCCTAAAGAACTCGACTTTTCTTGGATACTGCTTTTGTACTAAATCATAATCCAATCACCTGTTGACATCGCCCGTTTCAAATCACATTATTTAACCAATAAACCTGATTACTAACCCTAAACTGCTCCTGTCCCAACTTTTTTGAAATGTGTTGCAAGAACCAATATCGGAATACATGTTTATTTTGAAAAAATGTTTTTTATAAATAAATAAAAATCAGAACACATTAAATATTGTTTGTTGTATTGTCTGCAATGAAAAACAAGTCAAAGTAAATTTAGAAATCACAATTTTTTTATTTGTGTTTTCCATACTGTCATAACGTTGACTGTGGGGTTCTAAAATAGAAGTTAATTGTTTAATGTTTAAAATAACATTTAAAATCATTTGTAGTCATGACTTTTTGTCGTATATTTTCTTTTGCAGTGCACTGAGCACAACATGATAAACTGAAGAGAATCAAACCATGCTTTCACACTGAATGCAAATTGACCAGTTGTAAATTCAGCACTGCAGGCAGGGTGGTGCAAACCACAACAATGCATTTTTAGGTTAGCCTGTGACACATACTGATCTTATCTTCTGTACTTTTGTATTTTGCATCCAAATCCTAACCTCATTCACAGCACAGTAAACAACTGCAAATTAAGCAGGTTTGGTACTACTGTACCTCAGAACACAAACCATCTATCATGCTATTACTCATAATGTTTCTGTCAAGAGCAATGGATACTGTACATTCATCCCGTTTAATCACATTCTAAAAAAAAAAAAACATTTAGGCGAGGAGATGAAATCGATAAAGTCATGATTTTGTATTAGCCGATTCAGAGAATGAATTATTATTATCTGGATATACTTCACTGACACCTGAAGAAATGCTCCTCAATGACAATGGAGCCCTAGTTGTCTTCAGAATTGGAGTACGAGTGGATTCAATACATTTAAAATACTATCATGGCGTGAGCATAAATGAAACAATCATGCCTTCCTCTTTACTACTCATATCATGAAAAAAATTCTACAGTTTAGATGACGCATTTGTACAGTGAAAGGTGGAAATCCCACAGACTGTGGATTTGGGTGTCTAAACCCACACAAGGGTTAAGAGCTTGAGTGAATGTCATTATGTTCTACCCACTGAGTCATTTACATTCACGTGTACTGTATACACACACGAAAATTGAGAAAGAGAGAGACCTACATTTCAATTAATGTTTGAACAAAACAGTTTATTGGTTTGCATTAGTAAATAATACATGCATTTGTTTATTAACCACACAAAAATACACAACTGAGGACTAAGGATAATAAACATTTATGCATGACAATGACATCTAGGCATCCAGAGATTGTGCATATATAAAACCTGTCCAACCCGGCAAAGACTTCGACAGCACAAACTGATATAAATACAAAAACTAGGTACTTAATTGTTGTAATGATCAATCATCTTGCGGGAAATGCATATTACATATATTATTTGTGTGTAGTCCACCCTTCACCTTATCTTATTTCTGCTATTGATTTCTAATGAAAATTCAACGATTCTGAAGCTGCTTTGGAACAATAATCATTATTAAAATTCAATTCAATTAATCTTTACTTCTGTACCGCTTTTTACAATATCGATCATGTCAAAGCAGCTTTACATAGAAAAAGTTCTAGTAAACTGAAACAGCTTCAGTCCAGTTTTCACTGTTCCGTTTAGTTCAGTGTTATGTAAATGTCACAGCTGAAAGCCGAAACACTGAACGAACAATTCTACCAATGCGCAGCTCCACAAGTCCCAAAAAAGCACTATTTAAGTTAAATTAAACTGATAATACAGCATATTTTATAGCATAATGTTCAATTAAATATATGCAAATATAATAAAATCAACATGGCTGAATAGTTGTAAAAAGGCGCTTGGTTTGTGCTTTTGTATTTGTATTTGTTGTGTTCAAGTGTGATGTTGTATTTGTATTAGTTGTGTTTAAATCCGATGTTGTATTTGTTGTGTTCAAGTTTGCTGTTGTGTTTGGCATAGATGTCGCATTAAATGTTGAGTTTATGGGCTGTGTTGTTGTTTTAGGTTCTGATGCTGCCTTCTTCTTGTCCAGAAATTTCATGGCATCGATCACCCAAGTCAGTTTTGGGTCGGCGCAAAAGGTTATTCCTCTGACTGTTGTAAATCTGTAAATACATACAAGTTACAATTTTAGAATGGTAATACAACAATATATAAACATTTATAGAGTTTTTTTTACATTAATTAAACTGTAAATGAGTGTCAGAGTTCAAAATGGGATAAATTGAATAATGTAAAATAAGGCCTTGTAAAAAGTAAAAGACATTTACAGCATATTGTTTCAAAATAAATGAGAACTCACACAATGGCATCAATGTGGCAAACGCCTGCTCTCTGTCTTATGTAACTTTTGATATTTGCCTTGCGGAGGACACCATCAGATAACTTGAGACAAGGGCAATTAGACGAGCTGCTTACTAAAAAAGACCAAATGGAAATACAACAATAAATAAACAAACATCCATTTAAACAATACAATTTCAAATGTAAATAAATCGAACATCTTATAATTTACAAATACAGCATGTACAGCTACGTACCTTGATAGGACTCTTGCACAAGCAGCATTACAGCCAGGCACAGCAGTGTTATCAATGCAGATCTCATCTTCTCTCTTGTGAGTCTGTTTGTCGTATTGTATCAGCTCACCACAGTTGGCAGTTTTATAAACACTCACAAGGGGGAAAATAATCGTCAGATCTTCCTCCTACAGAGATGTCACCTGTTCGCTTGGAAAAAAAAGACCCTCACACCCTTTAGCCAACCACTGCGAGCATAGAGGAACATTCACACTTCACACCTCTAAACATGCATTGTTTTATTCGCTCTTTATGACCCTCAGCGTGCAGTGAATTGTATTGCAGGTGTGACGTACAGTGGAAAGTACCAAAATGCAAACGTAAAGACGAAAACCATTATTTAATATAAGGTTTTGTCAATGATTTACTGATTTGAGATAAATCAGATGCTCTGAAAGTGAAAAAATGTTGCATTATTGAAGGCCAACGTTGGTTTAAAGGTGAACAAACCAAACTGTTGGGTTAAAAAGTGTAATTTCACATTACAAATTTAACAAAATGCAGTCTAGATTTAACAAAAACACAGCAGAGTTTAGACTGTATACAGAAATCAAGTCTTATAAGTAACAGTTGGTCAAATGCAGCTATATTTATAATATTTTACATATATTTCAATAAAATGTTTGAACATGTAAACACAGTGTTGCTATTGATGAGTTCTTTCTGAGATGGTAATATGAAAGTTAGTGTTGGTTTCCTGCAGTCTGGTGTGGTTAGCGTTTTCAGGGGCTGCTGTGACAAAAGTCTTTGTGGTCATTGACTGAACTCGGGGGGGAAATACGCATTTAGCACCCGTACAGCCTTTTTCCAAGTACAAAGGACACAATTTCTAATAATCAACCCAGTTGTGCCATGGGCGAGTGTGTCAGTTGGAAATACTTAATGTGAAAACGACTCTACATCATTCACATGAAATACAAACTAGTTTAAATGGATAATTCAACCAAAACATATACATTCTGTTATCATTTTCTCACCCTTCACTTTTCTTTTTACAAACCTGTTTTAGTTTCTTTCTTCAGTTGAACGCAAAAGAAGTAATTTTGAAGAATGCTAGAAATAACATTGACTATGTTAGAAAAACATAGTATGTTTTTCCTACCATGGAGGTCAATGATATTTAGCTTACTTCAAAGTATCTTCTTTAGTATAACAGACAAAGAAAAATAAAAGTCATAAAGGTTTGGAACCCCTTGAATGTTAGTAAATATTGAGTAACTTTTTAATCCCTTTAAGCTTAATTTTTTATTTAAATATAATTTATTTATACTGAACAAAGTAATTAGGATTAGATTAAACATAATCCAATATTTCAACTCTCTTTCAGAAAGAATAGCCAGTACAAAATATAAATAAGACTTATTTATTATAAAAGCTATCCACATGTGTATCTTCTGACTAAAGAAAGTCATTGTGGTGTACAGCAACATCATATGACCTTTAGCGTGTGCTATGAAAAGATGCGAAGAAGATTTGGCAGCAACTTTAAATGGCCCACGAGACCTTTCTTTTCTCTTGAAAATTCCGAGGAACATTCATCTCTATAGAAACAACATTAAAAATAAATAAACGCAGAAGCAACGTTGTGCAAAAAATAAAGACAGGCATGCTACAGCATCTCTGAATGCAAGCATATCTTGATACTGAATTATTTCCTGGGGGCTAGAATAGGCGATTGATTGAAATAGATAAATATTTTCTCATACCTGACAGGAAATTCACTGTATATGCAGCAACAATAAGCATAGACCAGACAAAATGCAATACACTCAGGTCACTTTATTGGGTACATTAGCTTTTGCTTTTAAAAAGGGATTAATTCTTTAAGCTAAAGTTTCAACATAATGCAGGAAACATTACTGGGGGATTTAGGTCAATACTGACATGATGTCATTATTCAGTTGCCCATGTTTATCCATGATACAAATCTCTGATTCCACCATATCCCAAATGCTTTATTGTATGAGGATCTGTTAAATATGGATCATCTGTACAGTAAGTTCACGATCACTTTGACTCAAATTATTTTTGTGACATCATCTAGATGGAATTCAGGCCAGCATGAACATCCTATACACACTTGCAGCTTATCCAAGATGGACGTCCAGCATTTGCTTCCAGCACCTAGACTGCAGCTCTGCACAAGAAGTTTGTCCAGAGGGGAAATGGTCATTCTTAACTGAGCCTGGTTTCTCTCAAGGCTATTTTTAATTACATTTTTTTTTTGAAGTTTGCTCCTCGCCACTGTTGCCACTGGCTTGCTTGGTTTAGAACTTGTGAAGCTGCGCATCGATGGATATGCTCTTCAGTGTTTGGACTTTCAGTAGTGAAAATTAAACCACACTGAACTGAACTAAACTGAACTTCAACTCTGAACTGACAGTTTCAATTTACTAGAACTTATATGTTAAACTGCTTCAACACAAACTACAGGGTGGGCCATTTATATGGATATACCTTAATAAAATGAGAATGGTTGGTGATATTTATGTATAAGTGAGAAGGCAAACTTTTCAAGATGGGTGGTGACCATGGTGGCCATTTTGAAGTCAGCCATCTTGGATCCAACTTTTCTTTTTTTTTTAATAAGAAGAGGGTCATTTGACACATCAAACTTATTGGGAATTTCACAAGAAAAACAATAGTGTGCTCGGTTTTAAGGTAACTTTATTCTTTTATGAGTTATTTACAAGTTTCTGACCACTTATAAAATGTGTTCAATGTGCTGCTTATTGTGTTGGATTGTCAATGCAACCCTCTTCTCCCACTCTTCACACACTGATAGGAACACCGCAGGAAAACTGCCAGCACAGGCTTCCAGTATCCATATTTTCAGGTGTTGCACATCTTGTGTGTAAAGAGTATAGTAAATGTAAAACTAGTGTTTCTTATGTTAAAAAAGTGTGGTTTTTAAACATAAGTGTATAGTTTTTACAGGAGTGTTTAATTATCCAAAGGATCTGTAGTGTTTTGCTAATTGGGTGTGTGGTTGTGCTAACTCTGTGTGCTGTTTTGAAAACACGGGCTCTGTTTTGAAAATCATGCTTAAGAAATCCAAAAAAAAACTGTAATAATATTAATACTAAAATGGTTACAGCTTTTTAGAATGACCCGAAACAACAATTCCGATGTTTTACAATGTGCTCAGCCGTTCGGATTGTCTACTCACACACATTTTTATCATCACATAATTTCTTATTACCAAATCACATGACCTTTTTAATGCGCATTTTGGAATTTGGTCAGTAAAAGTGTTTCCATTGTAGTTTATGTACATTTTTTCTTATTGTATAAAAAGTTGATCCTACTTACTTATGCGCATGTTTTTCATGCGCATTTTCAAAATTGATCTTTGATTGCGCATCTTTAGCATTTCCATCAACTGTTTTATGGAAACATAGCTACTGTTATCATCTCAAAACTGGTCATTCTTCTGTGACATCAACAAGTCATTTTGACACTCAGAACTGCAACTCAATGGATATTTTTTCTTATTCTGACCACCCTACCCTCCTCTGTTTCTAAAATACTCTCATCTCTTCAATTCCACGTGAACTGAAAGCTGTGACAGTTTTTTTTTTCATATTGTGACGCAGTTTCTAGAGAAACCGAATATTAAATGAGAAAACAGTGGGCGTGGCTTGTTTTTTTTTATTGAATGCTGATTGGATGTAGGCATTTCATATAGAAAGATTGGAAAAAGGGTTTTAGAAGAATTATTGCAAACATAAAGGCTCATTTTGAAAACGTAGCCCTATATACATTCCTGGAGAAATTAGTATAATAGAGCACTTCAGCTTTAAAACGAACACTATAGGGTGGTATGACATCGTATCTTTTCTCGCTTACCAGAGGACCACTTACCTCCGTCTGGATGGCTTTTCCGCTGTTACCAATTTCTCTGGTAGCTCAACAAGTATGTTGGCGGACTTGAGAAGCAGAGTGGGGTTGACCGCAACAATGGGGTTCGAGTCCATTGAAGAACGGTTCCAGAAAGCAGGTAAGACATAAACAAAAGCTAAAAAAAACAACAAGTAAATAACAGGGTGAGAGCAATGTGGCAGCGCAATAGGTAGTGCTGTCGCTTCTCAGCAAGAAGGTCAAGCCTCGGCTGGGTCAGTTGGCATTTCTGTGTGGAGTTTGCATGTTCTCCCAGGGTTTACATGGGTTTCCCCCGGGTGCTCGGGTTTCCCCCACAAGTCCAAAGACATGTTGTACAGGTGAATTGGGTAAGCTATAATTGTCCGTTGTGAATGTGTGTGAATGAGAGTGTATGAGTGTTTCCCAATGATGGGTTGCAGCTGGAAGGGCATCCGCTGTATAAATCATATGCTGGATAAGTTGGCGGTTCATTTTGCTTTGGCAACCCCAGATTAATAAAGGGAGTAAGGCAAAAAGAAAATTAATGAATGAATAACAAGGTGAGAATTTGGTTAAAAAAAAAGAAAAAAAAAAGTGGCTGTTATGGTCAATCAGTGCTTTTTAAAACACTATTGGTTGGGTTTAGGGAAGAAGGAGGGTGGAGAAATCGTTGGTTAGTCAGTCAGTAAATCTGTCAGTCGACAGCGGTCACTGGTGGATTTATGTGAGAACAGCAGGCACGAATGGCACTCGAGAGAGAAATTTGAAATCTAAAAAAGCGTACACAGCGGCCTCTAGTGGATTTGCAATAACAAAAACTGCAACAAAAAAACATAGCTACTGGGACATATTGTGCACTCTCCAGAAATGTATATAGTGGTACATAATCAGAATGAGCCCATCACAGACACATCCTCCTCACCATTTCTGTTTGTTGTCAAAACTGACAGTGGGAAGGGCATGGTAAATTATGTTATTCAAGCTCAATAGGTCATACAGATGTAATCTGTTAAAATATAAATAAACAGGAAGGGCATTTTGTGATTTTAATTAAAGATTACTAGGGTAACAAAATCATGTGGTTAGTTTTAATTTAAGTTGTATTTAAAGGCACAATATGTAAGAATTTTTCATTGAAATATCTAAAAACCACCAGAACAGTGTTATGTATTTTGC